CTGGATTCTGCTTGCATGTAATATGAGTGATATTGTTTGATAATTTCCACACTCTGTAGGATCATCTTTTTTTTTTTAAAAAAAAATGGGTGTAAGTATGGATCTCTTCCAAGCAGTTGGCCAGGTAGTTGTCTTCCTTAGCTCCAAGTAAGTCCTTCTTATTGTTGTTGTTGTTGTTCTCGTGTGTACCATCGAGTTGAGACCAACCTATAGCTGACCCTCCAGTGCGTTTTCAGAGGCAGTTAATAGCACAGGAAGAGATTGCCCATCCTTCTTCTATGGAGCATCTGGTGGATTTGAACCATGTGCCTTTAGTATTGCAGCACAGTTTCTTACCAATAGGCCACTAGAGCTCTCTCAGTAAGACCTTACTCATACAAAATTCTGTGTGGATCTCTGGTGTCCTCTCTCTCACCACAGCTGGACAATTCTCCTTTGTTTCCAACTTTTGCATTCCAATCACCAGTAATCCTCCAGGTATCTTGACTGCATGCTCAATCAACTTTAGACTGCAGAAGTTAGTAGAAATCTTCAATTTCTTCATCTTTGCTTTAGTGATTGAGCCATAAATTTTAATAACAGTTGTGTTAATAAGTCTTCGTGGTATACATATGGATATAATTCAATCCCTGACAGCACTGTGCTTCAGGACAAATCTTCTGAAGGCTAATTTGACATAATTCCTTTTCAATTTTTCATCACCAGCATGTTGTCTGTAATTGTTGTTATTTTGGGTACCATCAAGTCAAGTATGACACATGGGAAACCTATGAATGACAGACCTGGACCCTGTCCCACCCCAGGCCATCCTCAATCATCCCTGACACACCTGAGCCCATTGCTGCAGTCGCTGTGCCAGTCCACCTGGTTGACGTCTCCCTCTCTTTCATCAACCCTCCACCTTTCCAAGCAGAATGTCCTTCTCCAAAGTATGTTTTTGTTGATTGCCTTGAAGTCAAGCACGACTCATAAAGATCCTATGAACAAAAGGCTTGAAGCCTTTCTAAAACTGTCACATTTATCAAACTTCATAGAGTTTCCAGAGGCATGTTGTTCTGGAAGTGGATGCCATTCCTGCTTCCAAAAGAATATTCTCCAGAGAACAGCCTCTCCTAACAACATGTCAAAAATATGTAAGACAAAGCTTTACCATACTTGCCTCCAAGGAGCATTGTGGCTGAACTTTCTCTAAGACATATTCGTTTGTTCTTTTGGCAGTCCATGGGATATTCAACACTCTCCCCCCACACCACAGCTCAAAGACATCAATTCTGTCATCCTTATTCATTGTCCAGCTCTCAAATACATAGCAAGTGATTGAAAAGATCATGGCTGGAATTAGGCACACCTTAGGCTTCAAACCGATGTCATTGTTCCTCAACAATTTGGAGAGGTCCCTGACTGCAGACTTTCCCAGTACAATTTGTCTCACATTCTACTCAGTGCTGGTACCAAGAGAGTTGATTGTAGATCTAAGTAAGATGAAATAATGGACAATTTCAGTCTTTTCTTCCATCTATCATGATGCCATCTGTTTGTCCAGTGGTGAATTTTTTTTCTTGATGTTGGGATGTAACTGATCTGCAGCAAGTGTTTGGTGTTCTCCTCACTGTTAACGAACAAGGTTGTGTCGTCTGCATAATGTAAGTTGTTGATGAGGTTTCCTCTGATTCTGATGCCACAATCTCCTTCATAGATTCCAGCTTCTTGAATGATTTGCTCCACATACAGATTAGATAGGTAGAGAAAGAAGATATAGCCCTGATGCACAGCTTTCTTGATTTTAAACCATATAATGTTCCTTTGCTCTGTGTCTTTAAACAATTACAACATAGTTGTTGTTGCTGTTGTTGTTATGTGCTGTCAAGCCGCTTGCAACTCATAGCAATCCTATGTACAACAGCCATATACCTCGTTCTATCCTGTGCCAATCTTATTGTCTCTGACACACCTACTTCTATTACCTCAGTGACTGAACCAATCCATCTCATTGAGTGTCTTCCTCTCTTATACTGTCCTTCCACACTCCCAAGTATGAAGTCCCTCTCCAAGGACTGGTCCCGCCTTACAACATGTCCAAAGTATGTCAGACAAAACTTAAGAATCCTTGTTTCCAAGGAGCAACTTGGTTTCACACTCTCTAGAGTGAACCTGTTTGTTCTCCTATCCATCCATTCAATACTCTTCTTCATCACCACAGCTCAAAGGCATCAATTCTCCTTCTATCATTCCGAGTCATTGTTCAGCTTTCTGATGTATGGCAAGCAATGGCAAAGACCGTGGCCTGAACCAGGCACACCTTAGTATCCAGACTGACATTGTTGCTCTTCAGTAGTTTGGAGAGGTCTCTGACAGCAGACATTCCCAATGCAATTCATCTTTTAGATTCTTGGCTGCTGGTACCAAGAATGTTGATTGTGAAGCCAAGCAAACTGAAGCTGTTAACATTCTCAATCTCTTCATCATCTATCACAATGCTGCCAATGGGCCCAGTGAGGATCTTTATTTTCTTGATGTTGAGCTTCAATCCATATTGAAAGCTGAAGTTCTTGACCTTCTGCAGCAAGCACTTCAGGTCCTCCTCAGTTTCAGCAAGCAGGGTTGCAGGGGATCAGTACAAAGACAGAGGAGGAATTAAAAGCTAAGATGGATGTCAGAAAGGACTCTGAAATATTGCACTAGAGCACCAAGAAGCCAAAGCAAAGGAAAGAAATCAAGACATTAAGGAGCTAAACAGATTTCAAAGGGTAGCATGGGAATACAAAGTAAAATATTTTCATGAAATGTGCAGAGAGCTGGAGTCAGAAAATCAAAGGAGCTAAACTCGCTCAGCATTTCTTAAGCTGAAGTAACTGAAGAACAAATTTAATCCTCAAGTTGCAATACATAAGGATGTTTTGGACAGAATATTAATTGATCCAGAAAGCATTAAAAGAAGATGGAAAGAGCATACAGAGTCATTGAACCAAAAGGAATTTGCAGACACAGAACAATTTCATGAAACAACACATGAGCTGGAGCCTGTGGTGATAAAGAAAAAAAGTTCAAGCTTCTCTGAAAGAACTGGCAAAAGACAAGGCCCCAGAAATTGATGGCATATCAACTGGCATATTTCAACAAACATACGCTGCCCTAGATGTGCTCCCCAACTTATGCCAAGAGATCTGGAGGACAGCCACCTGGCCAACTGAGTGGAAGAGATCTATATCTGTTCCCATTCCAAAAAAACGGTGACCTAACAGAGTGTGGAAATTATTGAACAATATAATATCACAAGCAAGCAAGATTCTGCTGAAAATTATCCAAAAACCACTGGCAGAGCACATCAGCAGAGAACTACCAGAAAGAAGTGCAGGCTGGGTTTAGAAGAGGCCCTGCTACTAGGGATACTAAAGGCAGATGGATCTTGGCTGAAAGCCGAGTGACTCTGCAAAGGCGTTTGACTGTGTGAATCACAACAAACTGTGGCTGACTCTGAGAAGGCAAATCCCAGGACACTTGACCTTGCTAATGTGAAGCCTGTACTTGTGTTATGCCCAACGGACTGAGAAACATACACCACAGGATTACAACTGAGGTCCTTTATAGCAGAACAGCGGGGGTCCCAGCCATGCGGCAGGGTTTTATACTCTTGTTTGCCCCAGGTGCTGGGCTATTCGCTGTAACATTCTGCTGTTGAAACATTTCAAGGGCACAGTGGTATACTCAAGAGTCATGGAGTGTGAAACATCTACACCTTGGGTGAGAAACAATAGCAGTTACTGTTTTGGGAGGCTGTTCAAGACAAAACCTTAAGGCTCTGGGCAAAAATTTTCCACACAGAGGTTTAGTTACTCAAATGGAATACTACATAAAATGGAGTCAGTCTGGCTTCTAACTTGGACCAGGAGGCAGTCGTCAGAACAGAGCAAGGAGACACTGCATGGTTCAAAATTGGGAAGGATGTACGCCAGGGATGTGTCCTATCCCTGTATTTTTTCAATCTTTATGCAGAACAGATTACCAACATAGTAGATCATATAATTGTCTGATTAAAAATGTGCAGAGGTTTGGGGGTTTTTTCCCCATCCAAGGAGTCTCTCCTCCACAGGCCCGCCCTTCTGCCTTACCTAGAGGTACGTGTCTCCTTCTTTTATGAAGGAGGGAGGTGAGGGCCGGTGATCCTTGTGGGCTGTCCCTGGGCCAGGTCAGACATAGTGACCCCGTTATTCCACAGAATGAAAGCCGACGTGAGCCTGTGTCATCCTCAGGCTCCCCATTGAGTATTTTCCTGTCCTTTGTTTATCCCCTACTTTTCCAAGCATGACGTCATAATCCTGTGTGACAAGAAACTGCACTGCAATCCCAAATGCGCACGGTTTGAATCCACCAGATGGTCCCTCTGCTGGAGCAGGGGCAGTCACCTCCTGTGCCAATTGGATCCAATTTGATGGTAAACAAGAAAGAAAGGAAAAAATCCTTCTCGTAAAAATTTTTTTCCCGGTGCTACCTGCATTATTTTGGAGTTCCCGGCTCTGAGTGGGCTCCAGCAGGGTGGACACTGCCCCCCAGACCCCTCTCTGCCTGTTTGCAGCCTCTCTTCTGACACTCTGTTCTCCGAGTGGGTGGTTGCCGGGCCGTCAGAACTTGAACGAACTTCAGTTTGGTTTGCTTGACTCTGGCTTCCACATGGTCTGTGAGATGACTAGTGGGTTACAAGTTTAGGAGCATCCACAACCACATATGCTGGGAAGCATGACATCTCTCATCTTTGAGCTTCTGTGAGTATGTAGGTCTGGGACTCCACCACATACTCGCAGGCGCACACATGGATGCACACGCATGTGAACATATGCACACATCTTTACTCACTCTGCTTGAAAGGGGGCATCCGCAGCAGACCCAGGCTGGGATGTCGACTGTGAGGCAAGGGGTCTTGGTGACTATGCTCTCGTGGACTCTCACTCGCCCCTTCGCAGCTCTGCACTGTCCCCGTGGGGTCCATCGTCCTGCCGACATCCATGGCGCTGGTGGGCCCGGGTCCTTGAATGCTGTGTGCAGACTGGAAACCCACTCCATTTCTATCTCTCCCTGACGACGCCTCCCAGCTCCAGATCTGGACAAGAGAGTAGGCGAGATGCTTCTCCCTCTCTGTCTCACTATCTCTCTTTTCTCCTGTTCTATTCTCTTTGTTCTGTCTGTGCCTCTGTGTCTCTCTCCTCTCTGGGCCTGTCTCCTCCCATCTGTTTCTCACGCCTCTGTCTCTCTGTTTTTATCTCTCTCCCTCTGCCCTCTCACTTTCTCTCTCTGCTATGCTTTCACTCTTCTCTGTGTGTGTCTCCCTCCCCTCTTCGTCTCTCTCTCTCTCCTCCCTCTCTGCCTCTTTCTGCCTTTATCTTTGCATTGCTCACAGCCCACCTGTTTCTACACATGTGTGGATGTCTGTCTTTTTCTAGTGTTTCATTTTTGGTCAAAACTGGCTTGCCTGAAAATAGAGCCCTTTGAAAATATTTCCATGGTGCAGTGGTAAACTACTAACTCACATTGTTTCTTCTACACCAACGGACATCTCAAATACCACAAAATAAGTTGCGTGTGTGACCTCATGTGGTAACCTGGGGATAAACTATGTTAACCTTGTCAGACACAGGTCAAAATCATCTGAACCTGGGATGTGAAGGGCCAAGGTCATGTGCCTCTTGTTTCTAAGTCATAGTGGACCCACCTGTTCCGTCCAAAGTGGTCATCTTCTCAGCCTGTATCTGTTCATCTGTCTCTGGAAATTCAAAAGGACGACTCTTCTGTTTTCTCCCTTTGTCAGAGAGGAAGGACCTACCACCACATCCTCATTGCTTTTGCCAGGTGTGGTTTTCAATGCTCAGATTTTCCTTCTCAGCTATTTTTCTTATCCATTCCGTTTACTTCAACCGGCTCCTGTCCTCTAACACTGCTCTGGGGAACCTGGAAACCCTCACAGGCGTCCCTCTCCTCTGACACCCTCACGCTCTACGAGACTCATGTTAAGCTCTCTGGGGACTCTGGTTGTTTAGTCTCAAGGGAGCTGCTGTTCTAACCAAAGACAGAGCCTCTCTGGCGATTTAAGTCCATGCTTCCCAGGACAAATTGGACACGCCTCCTGTGTGATTTACAGCCTCTGAAAACCCATTGGAGGTGGAACTACAGGTCGTTCTGACTCACCGGCAATAAGTTGAATTTGTTGTGTCACCAAAGGTTGGCATTCGTGCTTGGGTCTAAGTAGTGCCCACGGGGTAAGCCATCCTGCTGCCATGGGGTTAACGGCCTCGGAATAGTAACGGAGGAATGGCAAGTGTGTAGCCTGTCCCCAGTAGAGTGTCGTCGGCCCCTGGATGGCTTCATCTGTGATCGGCTGCTAATCTAAAGGCTGACTGTTAAACCACCCAATGACAGTGCTCGGAGCACTGGGACACCCCGGGCTGCCGTAAGCAGGCACCACCGTGTGCAGTGAGTTGTGGCGAGGTAGAGGAAGTCACCGGCAGTGAGAACACTGCTGTTGCTGTGTGCAGTCCAGTTGGAACGGACCCACAGCTGATGCCCAGGCGGGCTTTCCGAGGCAGTAAATCACACTGGAAGAGGCCACCCATCCTGCCTTTGCAGAGCAGCTGGTAGATTTGAACCGTGTGCCTTTGGGGTTGCAGCACAGCTTCTTACCACTAGGCCACCAGAGCTCTTTCCACATGGACAGTCCAGCAACAGAAGTACACCCCCTGAGTCATGTCCGGTTCTCACCCTCTTGGCTTGAGTGGCTGCTGCCCTCTGTGTTTTTAACCAAAGCTCTGCCTCATTTGTAGATGCATTTGCTGGTGTGAGGACGCCCAGGCAAGAGCTTGGGAAGACGAATGAGGGCAGCGTGGAAGGTGCACCCAGCTGGGCAGCCGGCCCCTCTGCCCTGACCCTCTTCCATGTCTGTTTCAGAAAAGGAGGGCTTGCTCCCAGGCAGAGGATGTGCACCCCCCGGCCGGGAGGGCCCTGGTGTTCCGTGCAGACGACACCACCCCTGAGGTGGTGCAGAGTGTCCTCCTGGAGCGAGGCTGGACCGAGTTCGACAAGCAGACGCAGAGCGCAGAGGACTGGCACCTGTACTGGCGGACCACCTCCTTCTCCTCGGCGGAGCACAGCAGCCTCAAGCCCTGGCAACGCCTGAACCACCACCCGGGCACTGCCAGGCTCACCCGCAAGGACGAGCTGGCCAAGCTGCTCCGCTTCATGCGCACCGTGTACGGCGCCGCGCTCTACGAGTTCACCCCTCTCACCTTCATCATGCCCGCCGACTACCGCAAGTTCATGGCCCAGTACTGCAAGGAGCGGCCGGCCCCGGGCTCCGCGCGTGGCTACTGGATCTGCAAGCCCGCCGAGCTGTCCCGCGGCCGCGGCATCGTGGTCTTCAGCGACATCAAGGACCTGGTGTTCCACGAGACGTGCGTGGTGCAGAGATACATCTGCAACCCCCTGCTGGTGGGCAGGTACAAGTGCGACCTGCGCATCTACGTGTGCGTGCTGGCCTTCCGTCCCCTGACCATCTACCTCTACCAGGAGGGCCTGGTGCGCTTCGCCACTGAGAAGTTTGACCTGGGCAACCTGCACAACGAGTTCGCGCACCTGACCAACAGCAGTATCAACAGGCGGGGCGCGTCCTGCGAGAAGGTCAAGGAGGTGGTGGGCCGCGGCTGCAAGTGGACGCTCAGCCGCTTCTTCTCCTACCTGCGCAGCTGCGACGTGGACGACCTGCTGCTGTGGCGGCGGATCAGCCGCGTGGTCATCCTCACCGTGCTGGCCATCGCGCCCTCCGTGCCCCGCGTGGCCAACTGCTTCGAGCTGTTTGGCTTCGATGTCCTTATCGACGAGAAGCTGAAGCCGTGGCTTCTGGAGGTCAACTACAGCCCAGCCCTGTCCCTGTGCTGCCCCACCGACGTGTCCGTCAAGAGGGCCCTGCTCCACGACATAGTCGATCTGATCCAGCCGCCCGGCCCGCGACCCTCGGGCAAGGGTGGTGGTCGCAGGCCCAGGAGCAGCACCCATGTGTCCCCGGCCAAAAGCGAGGCGAGTGGCCTCTGCAGGGTGCGCAGCGCCCAGCCTGAGAAGTGCCTCCTGTGGGTCACCAGCCGGGCGCTCTCCACCCCGGAGCCTGCTGCGCAGAAAGCGGAAAAGGCAGGTTGGAGGAGCACCCAGGCCTCCCCGGCCAAGGAAAGGAAGAGTAAGCAGGACGCGGCCCCAGGGGCCAGGGATCTCCCCAAGATCAAGCCCAAGCTAAGGGGCAGGTCCTTCGTCCCTCACACAGCACGCATCCAGTCCCTTACCTGCCAGGCTGGGTCCGTCCAGGACGCCCTCCTGAATGGCGGTGAGAAGCCCCGGCCCCAGGCGGGCAACTTTGTCCTCATCTTCCCATTCAATGATGCCACTTTCAGGGCGTCCAGGAATGGGCTGGACATGAAGAGGATTGTTCAGGAGCTCCAGAAGCTTGCAAGCACGCAGCACAACCACAAAACATGGGCCCAGCCCAGGACCAGGGTGGGAGGGACAGGGTCCTGGCAAACTGTAGTCCAGGCCCCATGAGTCCGTCTTGGGATTAACTATGGTGAAAGTTTCTAAAAATATGACCAGTCAGAAGCACAGCTTGTCCACATGGTTATTAACCCTGGCTCTTAGCTCAGAGATTGTGGGCGGCCCTGATGGTGTCGGTGTCTCTGCTCACCTAACAATCAGCAGTTCGAATCCCCCAACCCCTCCAGAGGAAGGAGGGAGAAAGGTGGGCAGTGTGCCCTGAGCCCATAGGATCTATCGCTCCAAAGCCCAGTGGAGGGTCACCAGGCATGGGAAGAGTCGGGCTGACTCGAGGAGTGGGGGACACAAAACCTTAACCCACTCGGCTGCTAACTAACGTGTCAGCCGCTCAGTGCTCCTGATGCCTCGGGGGAGGGGGCGTGGGGGGGTGGCAGAGGCCTGGAGACCTGCTGCCTGGGCCCTGGGAGCAGCTCTGACCTCCACGGCCCGCGGGTCACTGTTCTTCTGGGGAAGTACACCGGCCTCAGATGTGTACTGCGTGTGATTGACCCCAATTGCTTCAAGGGTTTATTTAAAATTGGGGGGGATTATCATAAAAGTTGTTATATGATTTTTAAGAAACTACAGTGCCAAGCAAGGGCAGGAGTTAACCATTCATCTCTCAACCAGCCATTTTGTTGTGAAAATGAGTGTTGTCGCTTCAGCCCCAGCCGGCCATCTAGTGTGAAATGAACGTGCAAAGCCCGGTGACGGGGCTGATGGTTCTTCCTTCGAGCTCCGGGCCCCACGACAGATGGCCCCACCAGCGGCTCTCCTGGGCAAGCGTAGTTTATTCTTTTCTTACTATTCTTTGAGCCAAACTTTACAGCACAATGGCTTTGCAGTCCCTCCCGCAGACATGATTCTGTATTCATTAAAGCCCCTCACCATTCCCACTCTCAGCCCCGGCTCCCACTTCCTTGGACCTCCTCTGCCTTCCCCGTCCTGCACCCAGCTCACTCCACAGGCAAACACCGGCCTTCTGGTCTGGCGGGCTGTATGTTCTAGGAGTGAGGGCCTCCCGGCGTTCAGCTGAGCTTTGCTTGCTGCCACCCCAGGAGTCTGACTCACAATCTCCCACCACTGTGTTTCCATGGCTGTAAAGCTCAGTGGACGGGACAGCCTCCCGTGCTCCCTACAGCCTACCGTGCTCCCTACAGCCTGTCATTCCTCCCCACAGCCTCCCGTGCTCCCCACAGCCTGTCGTGCTCCCCACAGCCCGCTGTGCTCCCTACAGCCTGCTGTGCTCCCCACAGCCTGCCGAGCTCCCTACAGCCTGCCGAGCTCCCTACAGACTGTCGTTCTCCCTACAGACTGTCATTCCTTCTACAGCCTGCCGTGCTCCACACAGCCTGCCGTGCTCCCTATAGTCTTACATTCCCCCACAGCCTGCCGTGCTCCACACAGCCTGTCATTCTCCCCACAGCCCATCATTCCTCCTACAGCCCACCATGCTCCCCACAGCCTGCCATGCTCCCCACAGCCTGTCGTGCTCCACACAGCCTGTCGTGCTCCCCCAGAGCTGCTGCTGGCCAGGAGTCAGTCTTGAAGAGATTTGATCAGCAGCACAGAGTGCTATGGACTATTAACAACAAACACACAAAGCCCAAACTCAACCTCACGGCTGTCACATGGTATCCACTCATACTTACCCCTCATTGGCTTGGGGAGCCTATAAAGCCTGTAGCTTTCTCCTCAGAGCTGCCTTTGGGTTAGGAGAACTCCTCCTGCAGACGAGGCCCCCATGTCCCCACAGACTCCAGGCCTGGCCTGTCGTTTGCAGGGTGCTAAGCCACAGAGATGCCATATTCTAAAATGCCCTTCTTGATGGTTTGGTGACACTGCGATTATCATATGCACAAAGACGGAAACTTCCAGGTTCAGGTACATCAGTGCTCCTTCCAGAAAAGAAAAGTTTCTTAGGAGCCTGAAACACACAGATGGCCCAATGGCACTGCAGTTAAAATGTTTGCCTGTGAGCCTCAAGGTTGGTGGTTTGAGCCCACCAAGTATCCTGTGAGCGAAAGTTGAGGAGCTCTACTCTGAGGCAGGTGCAGTGTCCACAATCCCGGGGACAGTTGGACTCCGTCCCAAGGGGTTGTTCTGAGCTAGAATCAATCCGATGGCAGTGAGACGTAAGACACAGATGTTCCAGATGGTGGACTTGAAAGCATTGGATGGGGAGCCAGTCCTCACCCCCGATGCTGGGTGAGAGGACCTGGGGCAGCCTGTGAATAGGATCCCACAGGCGGTGACTTCATGCCCACAGAGAGCTGTGCTTTGGGGAATGAGGACCAGGGGAGTGACTGCCTGCGGGTGACTGTATGGCCAGGTCACTTCTGGTCTCTCCCAGGGGCCCAATATTCTAGAACCAGAAAGCTATGAGAACGCACTATGAATGTACTAAATGTCTCTGACAGTATATTTTACTTAACCACAATTAAAAAGCTATAGAAAAGGGAAACAACACCAACGTTTTCACAGTCCAGCTAGTTATTGTGAGCAATGCACTGTGGGTGAGATGGCTATGAAGAGCCGAAGTCCGGGACGAGCTCCTGCAGACATCAGGACAGTGCGCGCCGATGGCCTACGGCCGTGATGATCAGGGCTCCCGCGTCCGTGTGGCTTCCCGCCTCTGCTCCGGGAGAACTCTAAGGGGACCTTGTAGGGGGTGAGGCCCTGAGCAGATGGCCACTCCTCAGCCAGGACCACACTTCCTGGTGGCTGCCGTGAGGCACCGCCTAGCTGATGCCGTCAGGAATTCTTGCCTCGTGGACATCTGCCCGTTGCTGAACAGGCTAGCTTTGCCGCCGTCCCCAGCAGGAGAGAAACATCCTTGTGAAGTGCCCTGCGTGTCAGCAGGGAGTGTGTGGGGGCTGGGGTCATGGCCACTCAGCCTCCTCTCCCTGCTGCCATTGGAGCCTCTGAATGAGGCTTATCCGGAGGGTCTCCTCGCTGCCAGTGGGACTAAGGTTTAGGTCCACATCCCAGGCGTCCTGGAGCACTCTGAAGACACTGGTGGTGAGTAGTTACAAGCAAACAGGAGGAGATGCATGAGGTTGGGGTCCAACACAATGGAGGAGAGGGTAGAGTGGCAGGGCCCCCACCAGCAATGCCCAGTGGCCACCAGACTGTGAGGTGGAAGGAGGAGCCGGGAGGCCAAGTTCCAGATCTGGGTGTGGGTGACTGCCTGGCCAGGGCGCTTCTGGTCTCTCCCAGGGGCACAAAGGTGGGCCCACCGGCACTGGGTGTTCACAGAACATCCGAGTACACGTGGTCCATGCAGAGGTCCCTCGCTGCACAGCTGACAGTCTGGGCCAGGGTGTGGACAGTAAGCTGAGGCCAGCTCAGTGACAAGAGGACTTGCACCACCTGCATACAATCCCCCAGTGTAACAATGCGCACGGAGCGCTCAGGGCACATGGGGAACCGAGGTGCACCGGGATCCCACAACGCACACCGTGTCAAAACGCAGTAGGTGTACAGCTGCTGCCCACACATCACAGTGTCAGGACGGTCACGGCCTTCCAGCTCAGTGCTGACGCCCGTGTTCCCTGCCAAGGAATTCAAGCCAAGCTCAGAAGTCAAAGCTCCCAGCATCAGTGACATTTTCTATTTTCATTGTCACATAAATTCTTAATATTTGCAAAACTCGACACCAAGTTGTGTGGCTAACTCAAACATACCACCTTGCTGACAGTTCGAATCCACCGGCTGGTCCACAGAGAAAAGATGGACAGGCTCCCCTGTGGTTGAAAACGTGCTGGAGGATCAGTCGTGAGTGGGTTCTCGTCCTGCGAGTGTTTTCTTAGTTTGACCTCATGCTCATACCAGCAACTTGGGGTGTCCTTTTCACACACACACACACACACACACACGTTTGCATACACAATTCATATACATTGTGTTTCACACTGCACTTCTCCACATTTTGTTTCATACAATCATTCCAATGCACTTTGTTTTATAAAATCAATCACTTTTGAGGGGAGCTCTGGTGGCCTAGTGGCAAGACGCTTCACTCCAACCCCAGAGGTATGCGGTTCGAATCCACCAGATGCTCTGCTCGAGGAGGCGGGGCAATCTCCCCCTGTACCAGTCAGATTCGATTTGACGGTACACACGCACACAAAATAAAATTTTTAAAAATTAATCACCCATCTGCTCCTGGAGGCAGTTTCTTGCTACTGACTCGTATCTGGTTGCTCGACTGCTGGGTACCCTTCGCGGCGTGCAGAATCATGAGGGCAAAGGCTGAAGCGGAAGGGAAGAAAGATGCGGCAGAGATCCAAGGAAAGTGGGTTGGAACCGACAGAGAGTGAGAGGGGCCGCCGGCTGCTGACCCACATACGGCTTCCCCTCTTGAAAGAATTTTCTTTTTTGTAAATCTTTTTCTAATTATTTAAACTGAAAATAAAGTGTATGAAAAGAAAGAAAAAAATTAATCACCATTGAACTGTGTCCACCGTGACCCCGTCGTACTTGTCCTTTTGGACCACTGGCCTTTGCACTCCCACCACCGTCCCACCAGGACACAGGACGCTCGTGTCCACCATAATTGTTTAATCATCTCTTTTCAGAAGCACCACTTTTTTTTGAGCCAACAAGGTGGAATTTCTCTGCAAAATACCTTTTTAAAAATGCATGCTATGATGAATTTATTAATAAATGTGTCATATCTGAAGTATTATTAATGACAGTGATGAAAAGAGGTGTTTCAGTCCAGTGAGCTATTAGTAAGGTTGCCAGATACTACGCAAAACTCTAAGTGCAATTTGGATCTTGAATAGATGAAAAGTTTCAGGTAAGCCTCAGATACAATGAATAATCTAATAGCAGAGATACGGTCCAAATGGTGCCCGGACCAAGCTTGTACTAGGGAGAACTGTTAGCCTAGTGGTTAAGTGGCTATGTTGTCATCACAAGATAAAGGTAAATAATCCAACTGAAAAATGGGCACAGGATATGAACACACACTTCACCAAAGACGACATTCAGATGGTCGACAAGCACATGGAGATGTGTTCAAGAAGCTATGTTGTCAAATCAAAGGCACGCAGTTTGAATCCACCAGCCGCTCCAAGGGGGAGAGGTGGGCAACCTTCTATGCAATTCGCTGCCTCAGAAAGCCGTCTGGAGGGCTGGCTGTGCGTAAGCCTGACCTAAGGGTACATTCAAGTTTATACTAAAAAAATACTGTTTGTCTGATACTCAAATGTAACTGCGGTTTTACTAAGTCTGGTAACCCTACACATGAAGGCAGTTCAAGGACTTAAACATGAAGGCAATGTGGAGCGTGCAGAGGGGGCTGCCCCGCTCCGACCATCTGCTCCTGGACTCCCCACAGTCCGCAGGCGAGGCCTCGGGGAAGCCGTCTGCTGGGTCACAGCTACCAGAACATCTTCCGTGGGGATCCATCTCGCCAGGAACTAACACACAAGCCTTGTCCTCGCATTCCAATCTGTCGTGTGTAGGGAACTCTGGTGGCGTATTTGTAAAGGGCTTTCCTGTCAGTCCAAAGACACATGGTTCAAATCCCACTGCAGCTCCACAGAAGGAAGGTGGGAATCCACTCCTGCAATGGTTACTGCACGAGAAGGTGCATAACAACAGCTGTTTTTAAATTTATATTTTAACATCTTGCTCCAGGCTGATTGATCTTAATCTCATTCAACACACGGTGCATTCTTTCCACCTGGCTGAAATGATCTCCCCTGTCCTTCCAAGTTCATCAGTAATCTCATGGCAGTGACCTTTGGCCGCTGAGTGCCACTGACCTTTACTATCATAAATACTTTCACTTCCCCCTTCCCCTTGACTTGGGGTGTCAGGCAGGGTGATAAATTGCAGAAAAGAACTCTCCTTCACTCCATGGTCTGCACCTGGGAATAACACAGAGCTTTTCTCCCTCTCAGGGGTGGAGTGTGGCCACCTTCCGAGTGCAGAAGCGCTCATGGGACATAAGGGCTGCCACGTCGAACTTCAGTCACATCCCACGTGTGCCCCAAGTTCCCGACCTGCTGCATCTGTGGACAGGGAGAAAGACAGCTTTTAAGTGAACCTTAATTCATAAATTTCTGTTATGGGGTGCAGTTTTTAAAGCATTTATTGGTCTTAATTTGTTTTCTCAAATATTAGCAGTCCTTGCATCAACGTGGCAACCTAAAGTACGTTTTTAAAAAGTAAGCGGGTGGAGAACCTTCCAGTGAAAAATTTTACGCATTAATTTTATTTGATCTTATGGCTCCGGCCTTTAAGACACGGTTTTCGTGTGGTGTGTTGGCCATTGGTGGAGGACCCTGGAGATGTTTGAGAAGCCATGGATCTGCTACCACGTGTGTTGGATCCAAGTCAAGGAACGGAGTCAATG